GGAAGTACCAGCTCCACGAGAAAAGAACCAGAGAAAAAACAATGTCCACAGGTAGATTGGTCTCATGGGGCCGCTATTTTTAGACTATCTTTATCTCCTTGTATAAATGCAATTATGTGGGTATAACACTGCAGAGGGTTATTCAGATTTCTGGCAAATTTGCCAGAGTACTTAAGCACGGACTTGCTTTTAAGCAAATGTGTCAGCCCTGTCACAATTAAGAACATACTTGAGTTTGCTGACCCAGGTATGAAAACAGATGTGTAACGCTGACAGCTTAGTGGGGCCACTCAGCGCAACACAAAAGCAGCAGCTTAGCAGGGACACTGCTTTCTGTTCCTCTTCTGCTCTAAGTGGGATGATTTTGTTTCAAATGACAGAGCGAGGTGTCAGCAGCCAATGTGGTGCTTCCTGAAAAGCAGCAGTAAAGCTAGCTCAGCTCAAAGACTCAGACAAAGGCCTTCAGGCACCGTCCTAAGAAGGCAAGGATATAAAAAGACAGCAGAAAAGAAACCAAATGTAGGGAGCAAATGGGAAAAGGAAAATAATTAAAGGGTAAAACCGTGGTAACATCCCAGGAAACATGCAAGAAATGTTTGTTTATGTCTGGCACCAGAGGGGATAAACTACACCTGCCTGACAAACCTTTTGCAAAGTGGCTGCCATCCAAGCCTTGTACATGTTATTTATGGATCAGAAAGCAATAAAACCTGTTGTGTTCAAGTAAAGAGTGCTCACTGTGATACTCAAAAGGGCCAAGAGGCAATTGCTTAGCTAATCCCCTCCAGGGAGTATATATTTCTGTGTAGAGGGAGCACGGACTGACTTGTAGCAGTAGCTGGCACTGTGCTTGTAGTAGCGGCACAAGTTCCCATCGTCAGGAGGCGTCGCGCAGAAGAAGATGGTTGGAGACAGGTTATAGTGGCCGGTTTTGCAGAACTCATCCATTTCTCTTGGGACACCGGGCTCGATGGCCACTCGATCACCTGCCAGGGTGAAAGCAGACTGTGTTACTCAGGAAGAAGGTGGGCACACAGGTGTGAGCAGCATCGAACAACCACAGAAGACAGTGTGAAACCCTGGCACAAGAGAAGCACAAGGGACATCTGCTAACTGAGAAAGATCACACTGCACGCACCAGGCAAGTTCCTCACACTTCCTTCACGGCGGCCTCATCGCCAACATCTTCACAGTTACTTGAAAAGAGCTGGTGTTTCAGAGGCACAGACAGAGCAGACGGAACCTCTGTCACATACAAACCTCTCTCCAGCTGCTTTCCACTCAACCTTAGCAGATGAAAAAGCGGCCCTCACCCCAGGCAATCGCATGGTGATCAGATTTTTTTTCAGAATCTGTAGAAACTGGAAGAGGAAGTAATTTGGACAAAGCAGGTGAGCTCTGCCGGCCACCGCGCTGCCAGCTGGAAAGGGCTGTTCCTTGGGAAGAGAGCTGACAGTGCAGAACTGCACCCAGGACCGTTCCTTATTGAGAAACAGAGCCATCCTGATGCTACAATGGAGTAGCCCAGGCTGCTGGAAGGACACATGCCACAGGATAAAAATTAATTATTTAATTGCAATCATGAGGCAGGATGGACTAAAGAAAACAACTGTGTGACCACAGTACAACTTGAAAGTACACAAGACAGCCCTTTTTATTCGGCAGAAGTTAGTCAGAGTCAAATCTTTCAGTGAAGCTCTCAGCCAACAGGCTTTCAGTCAGGCACAGTGAGAAGCAGGAGGACGGATCGAGGTAATGCACCATCTAGCCCGCTGCATCGCCTATGATATGGCCAATGAGGGATGTCTGGGGGTGAGAGGAGCAGGAAAAGCACGTACTGAACATTCTGCCAGCCTCCCATTATACTCAGCTGTGGGGCCTCCCAAGCTGCATGTGGTTTCTTTGTATTTAATAACCCTCAACAGTTTCTCCTCCACCTTCTACCATGTAAACTTTTAGCATCCACATCATCCTTTACCAAGGAGGCCTGCAGGTCTGCTGCCTCTTAGGTCAATGCTGCTCCTGGCTCCCACCGTCCCTTGCTCTTGTATTGGAGAACAAGCCACCTTTATGTGCCCTCTCCCTGTCCTCCAGGAGCCTTCAGACCTGTGTCACGTCCTTGAGTTCCTCCAGCTCATAGCTCAAGTCATTCATCATAGAGATGCTGCTACACATCTCGTCATCTCCTTGTCCTCCTCTGAAACTTCTTCACTTGTTTATATCCCGTTGGAAAGGAGGAGACCAGAACTGCATGCAGAGCTTCAGATGTGCAATGATGTCCTGTGATTGAGTCTCTGTCCCTTTCCTAACCCTGATTTGCATTTTTCACCATTACTGATCCAAGGTTCCCATCCTCTGTGTCAGAGCCAAAGGTCTCACTCTTCAGCAGTGATGGTCAGACCATCATGTGAGACATGAAGCTGGTTCTGTTTCTTCTGCATTGAATTTCATCTGCATCTTATTGCCCAGGCACCCCTAATGTCTCTCTGTAACCCTCTCTGTAGCTCTCCCGTGTCCTCTCCACCCTGCCTAAGTTGTTACCATCAGCAAACTTTGCAAAATTCGCTGCTCAGCCCATTTTCCAGGACATTCACGAGCACAGCGAACTGTAGAGGTCACACCATGGGGCCTGGTACAGTTGCTCCCGTGACCTCTCTCCACTGCAGGAGGCCATTTGCTCCTTCAAGAACACACACAGAGAAGAAACATTAACAGCAGGTTGTTGGCAAGAGCAAACGTACATGATTTCTGAGGCTTTTCTAGCGTCTTCAAAAGGCACCTTGTACCAGCAATACACTTTGCTCTGCATTAAAATAAAGTCAGACCAGCTCAAAATATCTCAGGATAAAGCAAACCTAAGAAATACCATAAACTACAGTGGCCAAGCAGGGTGATTAACAGCAGCACAGTGACACTCTTTGAAGGAGAAGGTCACACTGTACAGTTCACAGCTCAGAACATCAGACAAATTTACCTAATACAGCCTTTTATCAATACATTCTCAGGAACTCATTAGCGGATAACAAACAAAAAGACAGTTTTGATTCCAGTTACCCGGTTTCAGATGAGTCACTCCTGATCCCACTTTGACGACAGTCCCAGAAGCTTCGTGCCCCAAGACCATGGGGTCCTTCACAACAAAATTCCCGATTCGACCGTGCTGCCAGTAGTGAACATCAGACCCACAGATCCCAACAGAATGCATCCGCAGGAGGACCTCTGCCAGCAAAGGAAGAAAGGTTCCTTGTAGTAAAACTTACCTTCTCAGACACTGGGAGAGCAACACGTGTGCTTGTCCCTGCACCCCACAACAAAGGCAGAGCCAACACTGAAACATCCAAATTTACTAGCGTTAAATAAATGTACCAGAACTGCACGTGCACACATTAGGATGGATGGCATATTCATGAGATACCTGCTGAAATACAAAACTATACAAGGATTCACAAACCAGGAAAGCTTCAAATATGGTCAGAGGTTTGTCAACAAATGCTAGAACAATCTAAGAAGGGCGAAACTATTACTGGAGCAAGAATAAAAGAGCAAGTCCATTTAATTTTTCCATCTCCCTAAGCTACAATTTCAGCTCTGGAGAGTTAGTGAATCAAATTCCTATCAGCCCATATGCCTAGTCTATTAATATTTAGTCCTGCAATAAGATCATCTGACATGTCCCAAGAGCTGTTTAATGTGAAGTACATGAACTGATGAAACAGGAAGCAAAAAAAGCCAGATAAAGGGGTGTATCTGTCACTGCTCCAGCTCTTCAAGTAAAAACACAGCATTTGTGTTTCAGCCACACATTCTTTTTCAGATTATTTTATACTTTCTCAGAAAGATTTTATGTCTTTATAATATCAAGGAGTGACAAAAGACAATGAGAAATGGAAGAGATTAGTAAAGAAAGGAGACAGAAGCAGTTATCTCTAGACCTACCATTGGGACCTGGTTCTGGGATCGGACGGTTTTCCTATGGACAAAAAGAAAAAAGAAAAAAAAGCATTCAGCTGCTTGTGCATAGCCATGGGAATACCTTGTGGAAAGTCAGTCCAGGTTAGTCCAGGTAAATCCATAAGCAAGATCAGGTTTTTGGTTCTGTCTGCTTAATAAGACATTGCTGCGCAACAAGGAGGGATATGAATGTGCAGTCCACATTTCCTCCCTAAGCTCTCCTCATTTTGCTTGCACAGTGGAGTAACGTGGGCATCCATTATGAAGGAGCACACAGCCAGGTTGTAAATCCACTCTCCAACTTACTTTGCAGTCATTTCTCCTTCCCTGCCCGGACAAGAGCCACATACTAAACTTTCCTGCCCTGGAACAGCCTCAACTTTCAGCTGAATCCTTCATCCCACTGGCTGACAAAAAAATTCACCTTCTATAACCAGGAAGACTCTGAACCACCTATTTCTATAAAGCATGAATATTGCAAGTGTTTGTGTCTTTATAATAATAACCAAATGTATAAATTAATTGTAAACATTACTGTAAATCACATTGAAAGTCACATCCTCTTCTTATAATTGGCATGACACCTTTATGGGATGAAGGATAAATACAGGCTTATAAAAGTAGTCACTTGGCCCCAGGTCAGCCTTCCACCCAAACGGTCCGCAGGCCTTTTGTCTTCACTGGACTCCCTCAGCTGCCTCAAAAGACAAAGGAACAATTTTGTTGGGTTTTACATCAAGACAGTGTGATACCCACCTAGGACCCACCTCCAGGATCACGTCTCTATGAAAGTCCCCACCAAAGTAGTTAGTGCTAAAAAGGAACTCTTCATTTCCACCTGCTGCTCAAATTTTCATGCATCTTAAGACACCTTTACCAAAGGTGTCTGCCCAAAACTGAGCAGACCTCCTATTCACACAGTTCCTCCACAAAAATTTGGTGCGTACACTTTAGCAAGCGCACGGTGGGTTATTTCTCCTTGCAAGAGCATCTTCAGTATTAAGTTAGCATGAAAATTGATCTCTGGATTTGAGAGATGAAAGATCAGTTTATAGCAGTCCTCCATGTATTAGCTGCACCAGTTAGGAACTGCTGTGTAATGAGGAACACGAGATTTTCTGCTGCCCTACTGCAGAGAAAGCAGGGTATCCCTCCCTGCTTTTGGGGAGCGCTGTTTTGCGTTTTAACTAATTAAGTACATTCTCAATCACAGCGTATTCCTCAACTCGCACTTTGTACTTCAGCAATCTAAACATTGCGAAAAGAGAAATTCTGGAAACACGCTCTCAAAGCACTGCTCTGTTAAAATACCTGTTGAATAACTAGTGCTGTAAGTGCGCAGGATGGCCTCAACTCTGTTGACTGGAGCGCGAATCAAAGTACAACTCAACCTACCAAAATTTTCAATGCTGTATCTGTATTTTTTCTCTGCGGGGTGCTTTTTTTGTCCCACCAAGGACACAGCCCACAGCTTTAGTTTCTAAAAGTTGATCTGTATGTAGCCCCTTATGTAGAAAATGTCTAATAAATGTGCAGTCTGGTAACACATGAGAGGTACAAATGACCTCACCCATCTCAAAGGGACTGAACAGAACAGTCCATGGTGAGAGATAAAACAAGCCAACTTCTAGCCGAAAATGTGTAAGTGGCATTCCTCTGCCCAGAAAAAAAAAAAAAAAAAAAAAAAAGGACTTTTTTTTTTTTTTAATAATAGCTGTGCCAAAAAACAGGCATCTTGTGGGATGAGAATTCTCGAGCCTGGTTTGTAGAAAACAGGGAGTGACCAAACTGGAACACCCCAAACTATTTCAGGATGTGTGTTCTGCTCACTGTCCATTGTCCTCTGAGTTCAGAGACAGCAACTGGGATAATAAAGGCTGTGAAGGAAACATAGCAAAGGTTTTCTGTGAAAGGAGACATAAAAAGAGAGGATATAGCACATGCATAAAACCCAATAAATCCTCAAGTGGCAGCAAATGTGAGCCTGTGGCTTGCTGCCTAAGGTCAAGAGGAGAGTCAACAAAAATGAAGCCAACTCATTTTTGCATAACACAGGTCAGCTATTGAAGTCACGGTGACTCTCCCCACGGGCAACACGTCCACAAGAATCAAGAAGGGTGTGGGAATTACGGGGAAGATGATTCCACCTAACTTTAGGTATCAATAATGCAGATCACAAGTTCACAGTTCACTGCCTAGACTCCTTACGTGACCAGCAGGTCAATGCAACGAGTGCCATCCACATCATGGCAAAGACCCTTTAGAGACGCCTGGGAGGATCACACCCCGAGGGGCTGCTGGTAAGGCCAGGGCAGCACTGACAGCCACCACCGATGTCTCCAGCAGCACAAATATCCCAAGGAAAACTTGCGCATCTGGGTGCGAGCCAGTTTAGAGACCAGCCACAAAGATGGGATGGGGCCACCATCCACCCTCGCAAGTCTCATACACCTTTCTATATCACAGGGGTTTGGAAACGCATTCTTGAATTGGAAGGACCACTCCAATTCTTATCCACTGCGGCGATGACTTATTTCTTGTAGAAGTCAGGCTGCACGTGCTTCTAGTGAAACCACAGTTGTATCAAAGGTGGCTGAGAGCCACAATCACCCACACAAACACCACTTAGCCTTTGGCACGTGTTGCTTGAGCTGTGCAGGAATGGTAAAAAATCAACTGTTTCCCTGATAATCATCCCCTAAACGAGCTCCTGCAGGTATCCAAAGTCTGCATGTTCCCAAGAACCCTCCTGCCAGAACTGTTTGTACAATGTGCCTGTCAATGTTTGCCCATGTTAAGTCTTTCATCCCCCTGTCTGGCACTTGCCAAACTGGCAAACACTAATCTCCAGCAGCACCGCAATGATTCAGCACCCAGGGACATCCAAGCGCTAGCAGTCAGAGAAGCAGAATGAGGCTGAAGCACCGACCAAACACGAAGGCCCCCCTCTCCATGACAGTACTCTGGCACAAGCACAGGCATGACCCGGTGTGGCTGCTCCCTTTGAGCCCTCCTTCCTGCTTCTCACTTGGCCTCTCCTGAGTCCGACGAAGCAACGCATCATCCTCCATTTCTGCTTTCTGGGAACGCCTTTTTCACCGGACTACCGAACAGCACCCACTCCACATCCCCACCTTCTCCCCGTGCGACCCAGAGAGGGGCTCAGAGGCCATGGGGCACCCCACGCTTTGGGCTCCCCGCGCCCTGCTTGCCCCACGGGTCAGCCCCCCGAGTATGGGGGCAGCTGCTGCCCTTCCCCGCTCCCAGCCTGGGGCCAGTTCAGCTCACTGACCCGGCAACCAGCCGGGGGGACCGGGGAGAGCGGACGCGC